CAGTCTCCCACTTCAAGTGCCGTAGAGCATCAGAGGTAAAGAACTGGACTTGGGCCATCCCGCGTTCAGTGTGGTGGGTAGGGTCTGGCTGTAGGAGAGGAGGGTAGGGTGATTGGGAGTTGGGCTGATTGGGCTGGGGTGGTACAGATGATGGAAGGTGGCTCAGGGCAGGATGGCTGGGCTGGTAGAGCCAGGTAGTGAGAGGCTGGGGAGAACCTGAGGAGTGGGGGCATTAGCAGGAGGTGGGAGCACATTCCTAGCCCCCAGGCTGGAGGGATGAGCTCAGCCAAGGTGTGGGAGAGGGCTGCCTGGGGCCAGGTTTTCAGGAAGGTGAGACTGTTTTCTTTCATATTTATCAAACATCGACTAAGGCCGACTAAAATTACAAGCCTTAGGCAAAATGTATGCTCTCTGGGCATCAGGAGTCAAGTTGAAGATAGAGAAGGCATAGCTAAAAAGACAAAATTCCTAAAGTGTTTTTTGTAGGACATCAAATGAGTGGGGCAAACAAAAACTTCAGTTTTGGGAGAAGCCTTTAATCCCAACGTCTGCCAACAGCACCCATCAGCCCGAAACTGCATAGTTCGTTTCTTTTTAGTCTTAGCTCATTCTTGCCTTAGTCTTTTTTCTTTTAACATCTTGTCAGGGTTGGATCTGGCTCTGAGTACCAGCCTGCCTACAGACTGCCCTGGCCAGAGGCTGTCATCCCTTCTGTACAGCACCAAGTTCCCCTGGGTGTTTGCTCACCCGATCCCCCTCCCCTTTCCTCACTGAATCCTCTCTACAGTTGTACACCCACAAACCCTCTTACTTGTCCTTCCCTTTTTGTACGTTTATTTTAGTGCATTAATTATATTGTATTTTCTGTAAGTGTAATTATTAACAATAAATAGAAGTAAATTTCGAATGATGTCAATAGTTTTCTGTCCATGAGTTTTCATTTCTTTCCTATGTCATTATTTTAAAACTAAAGACAGAGGCAGTTTTGTTTTCTTAGGTGAAAAGGAAATGAGGATTACGATCATATATTGAAGAGAAAGGCTGGACAGTGAAGCTCCTCGTCTTGATGGCTTCCTTGTACTCCGAACATGAGACAGCAGGTTCTTACACCGAAAGCCTCAAAGAGGCCAAGGGTCTAGAGGGGACACAGTGCAGAGTTCGAGGAGACCAGGGGGAGTGTAGTCCAGATGCAGGGGCCTAGATTTGAAGCATTCCAGTATCTCCTGCCTACAGAAGGATTCTCTCTGCTCACCTAGGCCTGATTTTAGTTTGTGTGTTAAATAAGTTTCATTATTATGTCTTATGTTTGTGCTTAAATATATCATTTCTAGTGGAATAAGATGATCAGATTGGACACAAATCATGGTTCCATATTTCCATCGACTTCAGCTTCTAGCTATGTGATTTCTGCAAAGTCTCTACTATAATTCAGGGTTCTCATTTGCAATAGAGCTTTCTTTATATGCAGATCCAAAAAATGTCTTTACTGGAAACAAATGTGATCACAGAGTTTTCCTGTTTTATGACTTCTGTATGGTAGAAAAAGAAAGTGCAAATTATAAAACTAAATCCTTGGTCCACTTCAAAGGATATAAATTTTTTCATAATTATCAAAAACACTTATGTGATTATCCCAGTTATGAATAAGAAAGACATTTCTCTTTCCGCCGTCTATAAATAAAAACATTGTTACTTGGAGAGAGGGAGCAATACTTGGACTCCAAGTATTAATCTTAAAACACTCTGTATTTCAGAAGTCTTTAGTATGTCTCAAATATTTTAAAACTTAGTTCTTATATTAAGTCAGTTTACTCTCTCCCCCAAATTTTTACTTCCTTTTAAGGCAAAACTAGAGAAAACATATCTTTTCAATTGTCGTTTTTTTCCACTGAAGTATTTTTACAGCTTAATTTTTAATACAAGTCTCAAAAATAGAATTCTCAGTTGTTAACCTTCAAATTTTAGTTGCTCAGCCAATTTAGGTGTTTGAGTAGAGCCTGTGACATAAGTTTCAAAATAATTAACCGTAATAATTTAATTTATAAATGCATGCAGTTGGCTTTTTACCTTGTTTTTCTCATACATGTCTAGTACTTGGCTATAAAAATCTGAATATTAAAGTACATTTTATTTTTGTCTAGAACTTTTCATTGTATATAACCTAATTTTTAATTACCCGATTAACTTTTTACAAGCCCTCCTACAGTTAAGTTTAATTAGTGGTTTTGCGAAATAGAAAAGTTTGAGTCAGAATTCAGAGAGTTTAGGGCAATTTTTTTTAACTGAATTTATACTGTATTCTAATGAGGGAGCCTCAGGGGATAAAGTTCTTTTTTCCATTGTCATTTTGGCAAGTACTCAGAAATAAGCTAGTTTCCACAAGGTGAGAGGTTTCATTTGGTAATAGTGCTGTTTTCCATGTAAATGTAATGACTGCGTTCTTATTTCTCAGTTGGTCTGGGGAATTACAAGTAGTTCGATATGGCTGGGCCCATACATCGCAGTGAGCTAGTAAAATGATAAAGTAAAAAATGGAGGATGGGAAAGTTAGAAAACTCAAAGCAGCCAGTCTACATTCACAGGGGGGAGTGAAGAAGATAGGACATTAAGGGCAGAGGATGGCTTGGCGAGAAGAGAGGGAGGTTGAATGGTCCTTCACGTGGGTGGGCTGTGCTGCCTCTGCACTCTGAAGTAGTAAGGACCTGGGCGGCCAGGACTGGGTGCTGCCTGGCTTTGTATGCCTGCTCCGTGGTGGACCAGCTTGTGACCTTGGGGAGGGCTCCAGCCTTTGTGTATCTGTTATTCCAGCTTACCTTATAGGAGGTTGGTATATGTTGAGGATCAAGTGTGATAATGGGTCTGAAAGAGCCCTGCAGGTAAGAAACCTCTGTGAAAACAGGGCTGCATGGTCAGGTCCATTGATTAGGAAACCCAGGCCCATGCAGCATGCTCTACAGGGGCTTGTTTCCTTCTCCATCCTGTTTAGGCCTTTCCCTCAGCTCTTTGCAGCATGAGCCCTTTTCTTGTTGATATGTGGTCACATCAAGATGAAATTACCAAGTTTACAAATTTGATAGACATTGGCAAAACGTTAAGTTTCTGCTTCCTGGTGGCACTAAGAGTCACTTAAGCAACGTGTCTCCAAACCCCGCCATAAAGGGAGTTATTGCTTGCTGCTTTCTTACAAATTGCTCATCTTGGGTTTGGGCCATTGGGCTGTGTTGGAGTCTGGAGTTTGGTTCTCTGTTCGAGGTTTTCCTCAAACCTCGTCTTAAGACGCCTTACATTTAAACATTTTGGATTTTGATGTTTCTGCTTGAGCCCTAGACATCTTATGAAATAATTCAAATGAATCTGTCTCAAAGACAGCCTCCCTCCTCTGGATGCACCTCGGAAAACATTCCTCCATTTCCTCAGAGTGCAGTGACCCACCTAGTCACCAGGAAAGATATATGTGGATCCGCTCAAAGCCTATGAGCTCCGGCGAGTTGGAGCAGCAGTGACAGGGGCAGGAAGAGGTCTGCCTTCACACTGATGGCAGCGGGCTGCGTGGCCCAGAGCTATGCACGAGTGGACTTCTAAAGCTGTCTTGTCAGCTATAGGATCCTTGGTCACTCTAGGCCAGCAATCTGCTTGCTAGACTAGTAGCTTTAGCAGAAGACTCCATTTTTCCAAATGCATGGAACCCCAATATATATCAGATTAAAAGTTTTTTATAGGTATAAATGTATTTTGTAAGTTGAGATTTATAAGAAATACTTAAAAAGGCAATTGAGGGGACAGTTAACTTATGCGCAGAAAAAATTGGAAATAACGTGAATGACAGATGCGGTCTTGTGTCAGCCACAACATCTAGCTTATTTTTTAATATACTTTCTTGCGATTGGTGATAGGTGTCGTTTAGCCTTTACTTTGCCTTTTTGGGGAGTCAGACACATGGCAAAAGAAGCTTCATTTCAAGGAAGGTCTGCATGAAAAGCAGCTAGCAGGGCAGCACAGGTTAATGTGGCCGTGGCATATTTGAATGTGCTATTATAACTTATTTTACAAAATGCAGGTTTAAAAATCGAAGTCCCAATTAGACATTGGTGTACCCTTAAGGCACCTCCCTAGAGCTCTGTTGGTCTCCCGAACAATTTTAAAGCAACTTCCAAAATAAAATTTCTGCCTTCCCTTTGATGAGCAGAGCAGCCCCTAACTGGTGCCTGTCCTCTGACAGTAGATAGATTTCCTACTACCTTGCAGTTTAAGGTAGGCCCAAAAAGATGCTTAGAGCTGGGCTTCCTCCCCCCGACTGCCCCACAGATGGGGCCGGGAATGGGCAACTCAGGGAGACATTATTGCTGCTCAGGGGAGGTGGCATGATGAGTGAGGTCTTGGTGACAGCAGTTCCATCCCATGTAAATTAGGGTGGAGACAGGTTTTTTGTTTTAATTGATGTCTTAATAGTTTATAACATTGTGAACTTTTAGTTGTACCTTATTGTTTGTGAGTCACCATATACATGCCTCCCTTCACCCCTTGGTGCCCACCCCCAACCCCCTTGCCCCTGGTAACCACCAAACAGTTCTCTCTCTCCATGTGTTAGTTTATCTTCCACATAGGAGTGAAATCATGAGGTGTTAAGAGACAGGTTTTTTAATACACTTTTTTTGTGTAACTTGACTTGAACTGTTCTCAGAAAGTCAAGTGTTCATTTCTATGCTGTTGGAGTTGGTAGCCAATATGGGGAGAAAAAAGACTGCTTTTGTGCTCAGAAGCTGCTTTACTTAATGCACATTCTCACCAGCTGAGGAGAAGCACACTGGGCTTAGCACCATGTGTCTTTGGCTCTGCCTGATTTTAGGTCTAAGCACTTTTAGGTCTAAAAAGGAGTCCTAAAAAAAATATATAGGTTCATTTGGATAGGACACTAGTGTGTGTGTGATTTAATGCAAACTTTCTTTTTCTCTAGTTCACAGAGAAAATGCTGACTTTGTCTTCTTTCTCCATCCTTACAGGTTGGTGACATTGTGAAAGTCACAAGGATGAATATAAATGGCCAGTGGGAAGGGGAAGTGAATGGGCGCAAAGGGCTTTTCCCCTTTACGCACGTCAAAATCATTGACCCTCAAAACCCGGATGAAAATGAGTGATTGCTGTTGCCCTGTTTCCTGCTGCTTCGTTGTTCTGCCTGTCATAGTCTCCTTTGAAGTGGGAAAGCATCCTCTCTCATAGGCAAGTTACACTGCGTTGCTGACGTCCAGCTTTCTGCAGACTGACGGTCTCTCATACACATTTGGAATGCACACAGTGGCTGCCTCGGCATTTGTATCATAGTCGTATTGTCAAAGAGTAGCCAATTTTAGAGTTCTTTTGGATCATAAACTGGAAATACTGGTGGAAGCACACAAGTGGAGAGAAGTTGACAAGGAAGGGGTCTGTCTTCTCATCACTGCCCTGTTTGTACTTGTGACTGATTTTGTCATGTTCTTCAGAGAAAGCTTGAGGCTGTGGTGAGACATTGCACGTTGCTATTCCACAAAGCAGTGGCTCCGTCGCCATTTTGTTTTTCCTTTGAAGAACAGAGGAAATAAACCTTAAAGAAGAGGGAATTCTGTCCTAACTCCCCAAATCTGGCTTTTCTTTTTTTCTTTTGATTTGGTTTGGTTTTGGAAGACTTAACTAATAAGACTTGTGTGTTCTGAACAAACTTTTTAAGTAGGTTGGATTTTTGTGATAATACAAGGAATGACACGTGCCTCTGAGCTTCTAAACTGAAGCTTCTGTAACTAAAGGAATATAAAAAAAAGCAACCCTGAAGCAGAGGCCTTTATCGTCTTGGTTGCCAGTAGTACCTTGTTTTGCCATAGAGCAAACAACACAAACAGCAGGTGTGTGCCAAGCTGTGTGCACAGCCTCTTGGATTACATTGTCCCCAAAAGCATCCAAGTGGGGGGTGATGTGGGAAACCGTTGCTTGCCTTGTTTGCCAGTGACAGGAGCACCGGGGGAGCACTTGGCTGGTTTTCTGTCCAGCGTTTCAGTGAATGCACCCCTTTAAGGTATAGGTATAAAAAGTAAGCTTGTTCATAGAATCATTGAATTCATGAATGAATCTTTAAATTCCACTCACTGAAGCCCAGTCCTCCCTGCCCCAGCCTCACCAGGCTGCCAGAGAAAAATGGTGCTGCTAATACTGGTTCCACAGTCTATGTGTCCGTGATGCTCCCAAGCAAAGAAAATGCAAGCTCTGGAAATTGGTTAATGCATTTGATGTCTGATGTTTTGTTGACTAGGGAGAACCATTAACCAATTTACCATTAACCATTTACCAATTTAATTTTAAAGTTTCCCTGTTAGCTAAAAGAGGCCTATTCATACAAACTGGCTAGTGCAAATTGTGACTGATCCCTCATCTGCTGCACATAGCAGACTAGAATTCTGGAACCTTCATGAGGTGCAGTCTACTCTCCCCCTGGACACTGGTGAAGACACGCCTCAGCTCAGAATGAATATAGCAGACCTAGAAATGTAGCAGCAAACTAATGAGTAACTCTATCATTTACTGAGCATCTGCTATAACCATGGCCCTGTCTCCCGAGGGGCTTAGGTTTTGAGGGTTAGAGCAATATATTCCGGTGACAGAACCAACAAAACAACAGTTTTTCAATTTCTCTTTAAATCAGTATTCCATCAGGTAGGTAACTACCATATTGAAGAATCTTGAGAGTGTTCTGTGACAAAATGAGTGGTCAGTTGGAAAAAGCACTGTGGTTACTCGTCTGTGGTTTTCCTGAAAAAGGCTTAGTGATCAGCTCTTCCTAATCAGTGAGAACTGTGGCCACCTCCTGCTCTAGAGGTGCCTGTCTATTGCAGTTGCCTCTTGTTCTGAGTTTAGGCCCAGCCTGGTGCCCACAAGTGGCACGTGTGTGGCAGGGTCCCCACACGCTGCCTGGAAGCACTTGCCCGGCGGCCAGTGACTCAATACATGAGGGGGGTGTCTAGCAGAAGGTGGAATGTGTGCCTTGTTCAAAGATGGCACAAACCCTAAGGTCTTTTTAAACCAAATTTAGCTGAGGGGCTTGTCACCTTTTGATGACAGTAGTTGGCTTAGAGCACAGGAAGTATATGGCCATTTTGGAAAGCAGTTTCCTTTCAGCTGTGTCTACTGACCAGTAGCAAGACTTCAGAATCAGAATACCCCACGCACCTAGGTTTGGCTTCATAAGTCTGCTTATCACTTCAGCCCGTGTACATGCCTCCAGGGCTGCCCAGGATATTCCGAGCCTGAAAGAGGTGAGCCTGAGTTCTGAACTCTCAAGATATGTGCCAAAAGTAGTACCTTTTTGACTTAGAACCTTAGTTCTAAGTTTTTTAATCAGGCGGGGAAATTCTGTTTTTCACACTAAATATACAAAAAACAACACCCCCGCCTCAGCTTTGTGCCTGGGTTCCCCTGTGGTCTGGGAAGACTGCTTCAGAAAGTGATGCGAATCTTCCAGAGGAGCTGCCTTCCCTTCTGGGCGGGTTTCACTTTTAGGATTGTTCATTATTGCTGCGTGCTCTGTTCTACTGTGTGTCATTTAAGAAAATATCGGGATGTTAAATTAATTCAAGAAGTGAATAAAGTACGTACTGAAGGGCATTGAGAGTTTGATTCGAAACTTATTTATCCTGGGAAGGACCTCCAGCACGGGAGGCATCCTTGTCATTTCTGCGAGGTGTATTACCACCTGATGACACTCTTAACGAGGAGGAGGACGCATCGACTGGCTGCCATTTGACGACTTTGGTCACCCAGATGAGGCACCGTCTGTGCTCCTGGTTGGAAAACTGAAAGGGGGGCAGAACAGCTGCTCCCTCGTTGGAGCTCAGCATCCCTGGCACCGTGCTCACCTTCTTATACGGCTGTTTACAGACAAGGCGGGCCCGGACAGATGGCCACTGCTCTTGGAATGTTTGCTCAGAGGAATAGGAACGTTTTATTTTTGAAAAGCGATGATGTGTTTTTGTGCCAGGTGTTTATAATTTAATCCTTTAATGTTATGTTCATTAACCTCTTAAAATGAGTGAATTCTTGATTGTTTTAACACAGTACCTAAGACTAATGCTTTCTGTGGACACCACTGAGCTCTGCCTCAAACTCCATCCACCCTCTGGGACCTGAGACCTGTGTCCCTGGTAACTGCTGTCAGCATGGACACTGAGCTAGTTGTATGTTCTAAAGGAGTAGAAGGACAGTTCTCTGGGACAGGGTCGTTGTCTCTGCAGGAGGAACAGTGGCCTTGCTTCTAGACGGTCTTCACTGTGTGTTTTAAAACGACGACAACAACAACAACACAAAACTCTTTTGACCTGTAACTTAAAGATCATAAACTTCAGGCAATAATATTTTCTGTGTAAGCTTTTAAAATTATTTTTTGGGATCATAGCTTGTTTTATTTTGTGCTATAAAATTAACAGTATTAAATGACTTATATTCTTAGAATACATCAAGTGTCTTTTCTTAACAGATTAGTGCGCCTTTTTATTTTTGTATTCCATTTTACGTTACTGGTCCCAGCATCAGGAACCTTGTTTCCATGTCCTGTTTGTACATTGTCTCAATAAAACTTACATCAGCCGGTGGTGGCGGCGGCTTTGGTGTTTCGGTGTCTCCTCAGTGCTGCCTGGAGGTGCTCAGCCCCCACCAGCACCGCCCCCCCTTCCCCAGCAGTTAAGCATCTGGTGAAACACCTGGTGTGTCGCCAAGGATGCAACCTGTGACCCAGCCCTGCTGCTGCTGACCACAAAATAGAGTGGGGTTGTGCACTGGCCCTCCCCCGCATGCAGGGTCTCCCTGCAAAAGAGAAGCAGCTGGTGCCAGGTTTGTGAGCACAGTGGCTGCTGTAGGGGACAGGTGCTCAGTCTCGGCCTTCTGAGGATGAGGCAATAGTTGCCATACTTTGCACCACCAAGGAAAACTTGGATGTTTTCCCTTCTAGGCACCCATATCTGAAGGCTTCCGTTAAATATTTGTTCAGCATGAGCTAGCTAGAGCTCAGTGGTTTCAAGTGGAAGTCATGGAAAACGAGCAGCCTCGTCCCAGGTCAGGGTGTGATACCCGTCTGGCTTTCTTAAATCCTTTTCTGTTCCTGTCTATATATGGCCCTTCTGATGAACTTTGGGGACCTTTAGGTGGACACCTTGAGGTGTTGGGGGGCCCACTGACGTCCCTGACACCCCCTCAGCCAGAGCAGTGTTGCCACGCCTGTTTGTGTGTGTACTGAGAGGTCCAAATTGCCTTACAAAACCTCCGGAAATGAGTTTCGGCACGTAATACCAATCCATATTGTATATAGAACCACGCTGCTAAAATGCACTCCCTGGCTCTACTCAGGATTCTGCAGAATTTGAAGAGAAAAGTTTGTCTTGAATGGAAATATGAAAACTGTCAAATCATTCTAGAATAAACAATGCCCCGCAGACGCCTTTGAGAAATACTTTCAGTTTGAAAAGGTGTACTTTGGTTAGCAGTACTGGGCTGGGTTCCTCTGTGGCAGGGAAACCCTTGGGAATGGGGCCAAGTGTGGAGGGTTGCCCTTCCATCTGCCTCCTGCTGCTAGGTCAGTGGCAGTGCTCGCCCACCGGCCATCGCCTGGGTCTTGAAACTGCACCCAGCAGCAAAGCCTGTGACACTGCTGGGCTGTTCGTGGGGTCTCTCGGGCCTTTCTGGGAGGCTCTTCTCTAGCCAAGTCAGTGATCCCCTACCCCCCTCTGAAGACCTGACTCTGCTCTTGCAGTCTTCTGTGAACACTCTGGTTCCCTCGGTCATTGGCAGCCAGTGCTGGAGCACAGGGGAAGCGCTGGCCTGCCCTGGAAAGCTCCGGGAGCAGACGGTGATGATAGGCTCCGTGATGATGGGCTCCGACAGTGGGAAGGACTATGGAGCCCAGGGCGGGTTCAGGAAGGCTTCCTGGCTGCCTAGGGAAGGGGAAATAATGGTAATCCAGGCCAAGGGAGCAGCTCAAGGCCTGAGCGCGCCTGGCTCTAATCGTAGCCCGCGTTCCCTTGCTGAATCGTGAGACCCCTCTTGCCTCATCAACACCGCTGGCCCTCCAATGGCGCTGTGCAGTGGAGACCTGGAGGGTCCCACCCCAGGTTCTGATTTCATGAATCTGGGCGCTGGAATTTAAAAAAATTCTCCAGGAGGTTCTAATATACAGCCAAGTTTGAGAACCACTGTGCCCGCGAACCCTTTCACTCCTGCGCCTCTGGCTCCCGGAAGCCCTGGGCCAAAACGCCGTGCTTCATCTTCTACCGCGTGATGTGATTCTACCGCGTGATGTGAGAGCCGAGCCGGGGTCCGCTAGGGCGCGGACAGAGCCGGTGGGAGGACTGAAACCGCGGGCCCGCGACCACCGCGGCCAGATTCCCTCTCAGGGCACCCTCCCTGCCCCGCGTTTATGCGGTGTGGGGGCAGGAGGGGGCGCACGGCCCGGGCGCCGTCGGCGGGACAGCGCGCACGCACCTGGTGCTCCACTGCGTCCTCAGGCGCGGAACCCCGCCGCAGCGTGTCACCGGGACCCTAGACCACCGCCTCGCCGGTCCTTTCTCGTGACGACCACCTCGTCCTCCAGACCCCTTCCAGTCGGCCCCCACTCCCCACACTGAGCTGCAGCCGAGGAGGGGGAGCACCGGGGCCGAAGTCGGGGGTAGGCGGACATCTCACCGGGAGGGAGAGAAGGGAGGGAGGACGTAGAATTCTGGGGTCCCCGGAGGCTCCCTCCCCGCCCTCGGATCCCGGAAAGGGCTTGACCCTT